GTCTTGATGAGAGCTCGAACTGATTAGATTTTGGGCCTCTGGCGGCTTGTCATGGTACTGCAGCTGAACCTCCGGTTTTGATATCTCATGATCTAGACAAGCTAGGGTGACGAAATTTGGATGGCAGGTAGCTCTTATAACGTAGCTCCGTGCATACAATGGTAACAAAAGTGGCATATACTTTACAGATTACAGATTTCTACTTGAAATCCAACTATTGCATTGTCTGCACTATCATCTCATCTAGTTCTTATTTAGGAGCAAGTGAGGCTTATAAGACTTAATTTTCTGGTGTCCTACATTTGTCCTCTGTCATTGGTCACTCGTCCGTTGCTGGACAACGTCCAGTTCGGATGCCTAATTACTGTTACGTGTCATGGTAATGTTTTCGGGTTGCTGTCCATACAAGCTATTTCTAGTAGAAGGGGACGTCTCGACTTGGTTCTAATTCATCGCACAGTAATATGTAGTTTGGCTACTCTAATTTAGGTTAAGTGACACTTAATTTTGGAAACACAGACTTAAACTGAACATGCGAATGGGCCGCATCCGCACACCTGCTTACAGATTATGTTGAGAGAAACGTGTCCACGTGCTTTGTGGATGATGTAAGGACGTCACGGTGTCCTTCTTACTAGAGTAAGGACGGCAGTTTCATCTCAAAGGACAATTGTCAGTCTCCAAAAAACATCACTGCCCGTTGAAAAAAACATATCATGCAGTAGCGAGGCAGCATCCAGGATACCATCTATTAGCCTTCGGTGGCCTTCGGTTAGCCTCCTTCGCAGTCTTGTTGGGCGTCGGCGTTATTTTTTCTCTGAGCGACGGGAGTAATATGCGGCCGCGAGGGACGATTTGCTGCCGAGGGAGTTTTTGCCACGGAGAGAAGGTTTCGCGCGTCGCTCAGAGAAAAAATAACGCCGACGCGAAGGAGGCTAGCCTTTGGTGGCTAATGGACACTGATCTAGGCAACGGATACTGCCTTGCCACCGTATGGTCTGCTTTGAGATTAAGGGAATGGGCCACATCCTTACACCTGCTTACAGATTTTCTTGCCCCCGTTTCCGACTAACGTGCGCCCACGTGCTTCGTCCATTATGTATGGCGTGTCCTTTTTAGTAGAGAAAGGACGACAGTTTAATCTCAAAATGTCTCAGCGAAAATGGGAAAAATGACAATTGTCTGTCCACGGAAACATCAGTGGTCGCTGACAACACGTGAACCAAGGACGTTTGGAAGGCCAGACTTTTAAAGTAAACCATCACGGTGTTACGTACATCATATACATAACGGAATTTTTTTTTACGATTTTACCCAAAAAAATCACATAAATGACGTCATAATTACACCAAAGTTGTTATGAATTAACTCAACTCCATCATTCTTTGACAATTTGGTGGCCCTACGATAAGTGGTTGTTAAGTTACAGGGGGCGGGCCTCAAAAGCCTCCCCTCCGTCCGAGTATGCCCCAAAAAGCCCGATGAATGTAAATTATGCGAATCGTGACCGGGCACGGTTTGAAAGAAACATCTGGTATGTGAACCACATGTAAGAAATGCGTATTACCCGAATCGCGCGGTTTAGGCGGTTTCGTGTGAACAAGGCCAGCGTCCTCAGTTGACAAGCACGTGGGGTTACAGATGTTTGGATTAGGGCAAAGATTACGTCATGTCAGACCGGTACCGGTGGACCCTGACACAGTTTTTTACGCAACTCGTGCGCGCGATCGCGTGTACTCCGATCCACAGGTACACCGTGTTACGGGCAGTTTGCAAAGCAAGGGGCACCCAGGTAGGTTTGTCTTCTTATTAAATTACAAGCAATAATTAGCCTCTTAACTGCTTCGGGAGGCGGTTGGAAAGAATAGAAATTCTCCAAATAGAGAGATAACATGCCAGGGGAGTTGGTCCGCTTGAGTACAGATCGGAGTGCGACAAACTGTATTCTTTGTATGACCCATTCCCCTGGCATGTTATGTCTCTATTTGGCCAACCTCTGCTCTTTCCAGCCGCCCCCGAAGCCTGCTAGAGGCTACGTAATAAGCAGAAAAGAGACATCTGAGGTACTGCTGACAAGTTAGAAACTTGCAACAAGTAGGTTAAGGTTTCTGTGGGTATTTAAAACACCGTGTAAACATGTAGCCTCCTGTGCAGGCTCTGGGGTGGGTGGGAGTTTTGATATAGCGTTTTGAAGAGTTTTAAACGCGTTATTTTAATAGCCGGTCATCCTACAACCAGACGCCGGGAGCAGGCTCCATTCCAGCCAAGGATCCGTGGGTGGAATGGAACCTTCTTTCCGTTATTTTCGGCTATTAAAATAACGCGTTTAAAACTCTTCAAAACGCTGTATCTAAAATTCCCACCCGCCCCGGAGCCTGCACAGGAGGCTAGTAAACAGTAAACATGTTCGGTTGGCCGCTTGCCCTAAGCGCATACGAAAACTTGGCGGTACGGTGTAGAAATCCACCTCAAGCAGATATATGCACAATTATTATCTTGTATAGACGGAACGTGACATTTTTTTTGCATTAAAGTGCAGCATTTTGGAAGAAATTGTGAGTGCTTTTAGCTAAGTGGACTTTGACAGATTTGGACACCACCCCCCTGGCAAACTGCTAGCGCTGAATCGCGAAATAAACTAATCAATAACACTTTAAAGGGTAACCAATCGGCAGTCGCCAAATTGTGGCACTCAACATTAATCATCCAAACTTGACCTGATCATAAGAGGCCTTTAAAGTGTTTTTCGAACGATTAGCGAACTCCCTAATCGAAGTGAAGTAGAAGGTTGTGATAAGGTTTACTCTGTGTAAGACCACACCGCCTTAATTTTAGGGATGACATCCGCGCGCGCATTGATTTTCACCTGTACTAAAACAAGTGCGATCACAGCCTTTCGAGGCTCTGGCCTGGCTCTAGACCTGTGTAGTCCATGGTAGTTAGCGACAATACGGAGCCGGTGGTAACTCTGAGCCGTCACCCAGGCTGCCGAAGTTATAGTGCTGATTCATTAATTCCCCTAAAAGCCAGCATGTGCCGGCTTGTCGTATATGTCGCTACGTACTGCCGCAAATTCACAATACTAGCTTTGTATTTAGCAGCATTTTTAATTTTTGGCCGGATTTTTTTATTCGCCCGCGCGCACTAGTTTGGGCGTCTCCAGAGGATGTCATCCATAAAATCAAGTCGGTGCGGCCTAATCGCTGTCAAAATAATGTCCAAAATAGAAGCCTCTATGCGGCTCCCCAGTAGTTGTTCCGATATTGCTTGCTAAATTGCAGAATTAAACTTTTATTTTACCATCGACCGTAGTAACATCTAAGTAGCTTGCTTGCAAACATAATAGAAACTTTATTCGCAAAATCATGCCCGAAGGCTAATTGCTTTTACAATCAAGTATAATACTCATTACACAGTAACAGGAGACAGGTAACAACTGTCTGGGAAAAAACTTCTACTTCTACTACTACGCTGATAATTATGGCTATGATATACCCACCTTTTGTTTTAAAAACGTTAGTGGTTTGAATTGTTGACATTTAAATCGGCTGATATGTTTGGAATACACGAAGAAGGTGGCCTGACTGCTATTATTTGCTAACTGATAACACAGTGGTTTGAGAAGGACTTCGCGACAATCTTTATTTAATTATTAAACTTCCAACTAAGGGAGGAATAACACAGATAACATTGTTTGAACGATCTGGATACTTACCTTGTAACTGAGGTCTTTAAGTTTAAGGAAAGGAAAGGAAAGGAAAGGTCTCCCGTGCCCTTATGCAGAGCGTAGGGTGGTGCCCATATCCATTTCTGTAGCCCTTGGGCGACACACAGTTGTGCAATGCACTACAGCAGGGGGCTGGTCCGCTGGTAGTGCTGTGTGTTTGACCTTCCCACACTCTTTCTCTTATGTGCTGAGTGCTAAGCAGAGAAAGAAGTGTGTACCATTTTTAAAGTCTTTGGTATGACCCGGCTTGGGTTTGAACTCACGACCTCCCGGTTACAAAGCGAGCATTCTGCCAATTGAGCTATTGTACCGGTATCTTAAGACTCTGTTTAAGTTTAAGGGTACACTCTAAAAGGTTTTAACGACTCTACAACAACAATTGATACAGCAATGTTTTCTGTGCATTTTCATACTCAAACTTAGAAACGTTGGCATTTTGTTTCTGTGTCAACACATGAAGGGGGAGGTGTTTATCTTAAGTGGTTAAATGCAGGTAAGGACGGCGCGTGTCTAACGGTTAATAATACTAAAGGTCGCGGGTTCGAATCCCGTTACTGAACTACTGGTATGCTACTGAAACGGGACAAGTGGGACACTGTAATCCGAGATCCAGGATCATTTATTTATTTTATTTATTTATGTCATTTTCACACACCTGGGTAGCCCAACTCAGCTTTGACAAGTTGATTTTCAGTGGGGCCCAGTTTACAGAAATAATAAAACATAAGTTAATACTTAAACAGAAGTAACAGAGAATTGTATGTACAACATAGATCATTGCACTAACGAATTAATTTATGTAGCTAGGTCTTAAATGATGTATCTTGTTATGTTTACCGATGGAAACATATTGTTTTTGCTGTTTCCTCATCCGGCCCAAACACAAAAGGTCAATGACCTGAACCAGACGTCTGTCACCATGGTAACTGGTGTTGGGTTACATCATGTTGCAATTTTATATCAGGAGGAATTTAGACCAATGTCATCATATATATGAATGTGTATGAGTAAGAATTAACAGAGCAGACCATATGCGAAGGTAAACATTATGCATTTGCTTTGCAAATGTTACCTTTCTAGTTATATTTTGTCACACCTCTTCCCTGAACTCAATAAAAAGTAACTAGAGGGTGAAACAACAAAACCACTTCCATTTCTATAACTCGAATGCATTGCGTGCAAAGTATTTCTTCATATATCTTCATTTTATAAAGTCGTGTTCTACTTCGACCACTCTCACAAGATTGTGACGTATTCTTTATTTTGTTTTCAGATTTTTCTTTCGCCATGGAAACCAGCATGCTGCTCGTCATTCTTTGCCTCTGTGCCACCGTACCGTTCATAGGAGGCCAGGGGTGCCCTAGCGACTGTAGCTGTAACTCCAACCAGCTCTACTGCGACAACAGCGGCCTAGCGAACATTCCCGAACAGATCCCGAGTGACGTCACCTTCGTACGCATCTCGGGGAACCTCGGAATCGTTCGGGTAAACTCGGGAGCCTTCGTGGACCTTCTTTTGCTACGGAGATTGTATTTGAACGATAACGGCATTCAAAGCATCGCACCGGGAGCGCTAAGAAATCTATCGACGTTAAGACGGATTGAAATAAAAGGGAATCAACTCACTACATTAGAAACGGACACGTTCAAGGACCTTCCGCAACTACAGTCTTTAGATCTCAGCAACAATAACATCAACCAAATAGAGGCAGATGCTTTTTCCAACCTCCAATGCTTGGCAATCTTAAAACTCACGAGTAACAACATAGTCACCATAGACGGAACTGCATTCCAGCAGCTTGGTAACCTGACTGACCTGTACTTGGGTTCAAATAGCATTGTTGACATACCTTCCCAGGCAATCCTGCAGTTCCAACGTCTTCAGTACCTGGCACTTCAAGACAACGCTATACAAGTAGTTAAGAACGACACATTTAAAGACCTCAGGGATTTGCTGTTCCTCCATCTAGAGTCGAACGACATACAAGAAATCGAGCTAGACGCGTTTGGGGGGCTCTCGAATCTCAGAAAGCTCTTTTTACATGGCAACGACATCACTGTTATCAAAGGAAACACTTTTGTGCAGTTAGCAAGCCTCACCAACTTAGACTTAAGCTTGAATAGGATATCTTCTCTAGCCAGCGCGTCGTTTCGCGGACTTGTCGCCTTGGGTGACCTCCGTCTGGACGAGAACAATATAGAAGACCAAGACTTGACCGAACACACCTTCGGCGGTTTAGACGCGCTTGAAACCTTGTATCTTGACAGCAACCTACTCACAAAAGCGCCGAGCCATCTACCGCGGAATTTACAGACATTGCAGATGACAAACAACAAGCTCACAACAGTTGGCTCCGCCGACTTTCCCCTCTTCGTGAACCTAACGTACTTGTACCTGGCGGGGAACCCTTGGAAGTGTGACTGTTATTTCAACGACTTCAAGACGTGGATCCAGACATCGCCGGTGCTACAAGACAAGGCGCTTTTCCAGTGCGGAGTCTACTGTGAAGAGACCGACGGTTGGTACGTGTCGGAACTCCCGGATGGCGACTTGGCGTGTAGCAACGTCACCGTACCGTGTACTACAACGCAGCTTCCTACAACACTTGTTACAATCACTGAAGAGACAACTACACCGCCTCTAACCAGTACAACCAAACCTACAACGCTATTTCCTACTACAGCGACTCATTTTGACTCTACAAGTGTACCAGAGACGACAAGCGAGGGTACAGCTACTACAACCGACAAACCGATGTCTAAAACTACAGCGTTGTCTTCAACCGATAAAACTGTTGATACAACGCCGAAACACAGCGACGCCACCACGACAACTGATGAAGCAACTCCGAAAATCACCGAGTCGACGCCGACGAAATCTCCGTCCACGGAACCGCCTTCTAAATCGCCCGCGTTTCCCACAAAAAAACCTACGGGCAAGCCGACGACTGATGATACAAAACCACAGACTAGTACAGGGCAGGTTAACATTGGGGTAGTAGCAGGAGTGGCTGTAGGTGCATTTCTAGCCGTGGTCGTTGTGGCCGGCGCTATAGTCTTGTTGGTGAGGTTCGGCCGTCGTGGGTTCGACCTGAAAGTTCCGGAGGACGCTCTGCCGATCCAAGGGAGCATCATGCTGCACGACAAGAAAGTTGACGTCATGACAAAAGATGGCGTCAGCAAGCCTACGTACACGGAATTTTAGGCCTAAAGGAGACATCATAGATTTTAAACTTCCGGGAAGTGTTTAAGGTTTTCGTGACCTTCATCATAGTGACCTTCAAATACACAGAACTCCGGCGTTTCTCGTGATGTAACTCAGTCTGGTATTGCACTACTTTCCAAATTCCTCACAACTCGCCCATTTACTCCCGTGTACTGGGTTACAGAACTATCAGTCTAACGATTGCACATGACGATATCAACCTTCCGCACAAACCTCTGCTTGCAGATCAAATTTTCAGCTTTTACCACTAACAGTGACGCTCTATGAGCGCCGCCTTACGATGTTATAGTAAACTGCAGGCATGTCTAATCCTACAGCTGCCATTTGCAAATGACCCAGAGAGGCACTTCCTATTTTTGTTCTCAGATATTGTCGCAAGTTTTACCTAGGTACTAGGTCCCAAAAATAAATATTGACACAACCGATAGCAACGTTAACAAGCCAGTGGCCAATGGCTAGAAAATAAGCTGTGTACAGAAGGAATAATAAAAAGCAAATGTCGAATTTCCGACACAATTAGATAAGAAAGCATGTTGACGTCATTTCATAATGAAACGCACACTGACAAGGCGACGATTCCTGGATATCGAGTGATGCCTGTGCTTTTTTTTGTAAATAAATTGATTATCGTTCGTGTGATACCTTGTCTGGTATTAGTCCACCTTTTCTTTTGTAAGAAATATATAAGTTTGATTTTTATCTGATACTTGTTCTGTCCGTTTTGTATAATTAACATATGTATATGTATCATTAGAAAATGAGATATTAAGATATTTAGTCTTTAAGATATTAAGAAGGTGGACATGTGGTCAGGATATTGTAGACTCAGAATCCAAAACCTTTGGGTTCGACTCCCTTGGAACAGCACTTTATACCTAATCCCTGACATAACTCATGTAAACATTAGGAACTATTGAGCTGGTGTGTTACGCGGAAGGGCGGTTATACCGGCTATAACGATACAGATATACAGAACTAGCTTCTGCTAGGGACGTCTTCTCTGATAGGACGTATACGTAAAACCAGAGGCCCCGTTGACTAAGCTGTTCCTACACCTACTTGGAGCCTCTGGTAGCCACATCAGTTTCCCATTTTGTACAAGGCGAGGAAAATTTCTGCTTTTAACAAAGTAAACATGTTGCGTAATTGGCCGGACGTGGATTGAGCAACCCTTAATTGAATTACCTTAATGGCACCAGCTGGTGCTAAGATAGCTCTTGTATGATCCAGATCACAACCGCACAGGTATCTGGAGTGTAGGGTTGTGCATCAGACATCAGAAAGGTACGTGAATGTTTAGAATGACCTTTAGTTGTGCCATTTAAAGGTTTCAAAATGCAATTTCAGACAAAACTGGATCTTCAAAGTACTCCGATCCCTGGCCCATATCACTTCTTCTATATATATTTTTATGTAGTTGGATGAATTTATCTACCTGAGTTTTCTATGGTTTAAGTTTTTTCATGTTTCTTTAGGACGACAACATGGTTTCTGCAAAAGGACGAAGGAAGCATGTCTTTCTTGCTTTCGTTATTTCTGTGTTGTTGGTCGGAGAGTCTGCCCAGTCCTGCCCAGCGCCGTGCATGTGTGCATCGAGCCAGCTCTACTGCCAAACCGTCGGTCTAACGTCCGTGCCCTTTCCCATCCCACCTGACACAACGTTCGCTATGATATCGGGGAACAACATCCCTTCCATACAAGCAAATACGTTTTTGGCCAACGATAAGCTCGAAACTCTGATTCTAAAAACAAACCAGGTCCAGAACATATCTTCCCTTGCTTTCCACGGATTGTCAGTCTTGCGACGTCTGGATTTGTCGGCAAACCTTCTTCAAGTCGTCCGTAAGGGAACTTTTAAAGACCTCCCGATGTTGGACCGACTTGACTTGAGTGAGAACAAGATCTGGGCGTTGGAAGAAGCGGCTTTTAGCAACCTACCGATGCTTCAAACTCTAGTGCTCACGAAAAACGAGTTGGTTGACATCGCTGACAATGTTTTCGTGTTGACGCCGAACATTCGCGATGTCAACCTAGCTGAAAACATGTTTACTGTCGCCCCTAGTCAAGCGCTACGGAATCTGACCAACCTCGACTGGCTCAGCTTAGAAGGTAACAAACTGACGAGGCTTGAATCGAACACCTTCGTCCTTTGGGGTAGTCTTCGAACTCTGAGTCTGCAGAACAACAAGATATCCGATATCGACGCGCGCGCTTTCGCGTTACCGTCCCTAACACAGCTTTATCTTCACAATAACAACATAACTACCATCCAGAACCATACATTCGCCAATCTCACTAGCCTGCTTAAGATAGATGTCAGCCAAAACGGCATCCAATTCTTGAGCTGCGAAGCTTTCCAAGGCGCCGATTCTCTTCAAGAAGTCTTTCTTGACGACAACAACCTACAAGACGTCCCAACCGGAGTATTTGCCGGGCTAGAGCAGCTAGAAAGGCTCAGTTTAAAGGGAAACTATCTCACTTCTATTCCAAAAATCCTACCCCGTAATCTTATAACACTAGAACTATCTGGAAACAGATTCGAGACACTACAACGCATTGAGAGGTCTCTCCCGCCTGGCTTGTTGTACCTGTATTTGAGTAACAACCCTTGGAGGTGCGGTTGTAGCCTTGTTGAGATGAGGTCGTGGTTGGGGAAGACATCTCTGGTCCAGAGTGCGCAGCGTCTGACGTGCTCGTTCCCGGGGTGCGCAGAGAACATGTACATCATGGAGATACCGGTAGAGGCGATGTGTTCTAACATCACGTGCTCGACTCTAGCCAATCCACACTCTACATCTCCTCGACAACCAAGTACCACCGGCTCGCTCACAACCTACCACCACTCTACATCCACTGTACAACCAAGTACCACCGATCCACTGACAACCAACCACCACTCTACATCCCACGTACAACCAATTGCAAGTACAACCGATCCACTGACAACCTACCACCACTCTACATCCCCTGTACAACCAAGTACCACCGGCTCACTCACAACCTACCACCACTCTACACCCACTGTACAACCAAGTACAACCGATCCACTGACAACCTACCACCGCTCTACATCCACTGTACAACCAAGTACCACCGGGTTACTGACAACCTACCACCACTCTACATTCCCTGTACAACCAAGTACAACCGATCCACTGGCAACCTACCACCACTCTACATCCACTGTACAACCAAGTACAACCGATCCACTGACAACCTACCACCACTCTACATCCACTGTACAACCAAGTACAACCGATCCACTGACAGCCTATCACCACTCTACATCCACTGTACAACCAAGTACAACCTACCACCACTCTACATCCACTGTACAACCAAGTACAACCGATCCACTCACAACTTACCACCACTCTACATCCACTGTACAACCAAGTACCACCGATCCACTGACAACCTACCACTACTCTACATCCAGTGTACAACCAAGTATCAACGGTCCACTGACAACCTACCACCACTCTACATCCCCTGTACAACCAAGTACAACCGGCTCGCTGGCAACCAACCACTTCTCTACATCTCCTGCACAATCCTTGGCAAAACCAAGTACCACTGATGCACTCACAACTAACCCCAACCACGCACCTCCCGTACAGCACGAGTACTACATCGTTAACGGTACCATGTTGCTGGTGTCTGCCTGTGCTGTGATGGTAGTGTGTACGTGCGTGGCGTTAGTGACGTACTACTGGTGCAGGACCAGGGATCGCCGCCAGGCGGCAGTCGCGCCCAGTGACGCTGTAGACCCACAGGGGAATGGCGCCCAGCTTCCAAGATCTGGTCTAGCTTGAACAATAAAATATCATATTTTTATGTTTACCGAAGGAAAACATATTGTTTTCGGTAAACATGTTGTTTTTACTCAATTTCCTCTTCTTCTTCTCCAAACACTAACCTCTGACCTGGCCAATGACATGATTTGTTGTCGTCTGTCACCATGGTGACTGGTGTTGGGTTACATAATGTTGCAAACTTCATGGTCTGCTCTGCTCCTGTCACCATATACTAGTAGTACATGTATGTGAATATGTTTGAGTAAAAATTAACAGGGCATACCATGTCCGAAGGTAAACATTATGCATTTGCTTTGCAAATGTTACTTCTCTAGTTTTCTATGTGTATTACTCATTATAGGCATTATACGGTATACGTGTATCATGTTATTGTAGTGTTCGATTGCATTTTAAAGTTGTGTGGTGTTACAAGTGTTCATCATTTGCCCAAATGTATTTTACGTGTATGTGGGCCATATACATTCTCAACAAATGTTACTTTTCTTTTGTCAACGTGACGACAGAAGTGTGCATGTCAGAACTAAATGCTGGAATTCTAGGGTTCTGAAACAGCTGTTATATTTGAGCTATCAAAGCTAAGGCTTAAAAGGTTTGTGCTTGATAATAATAAACTTTATTGTACGTCAATTGTACATGGTACAACGTATGGCATCTACTTCTATACAACAATAAACATACTTCAAGACTAATTAATCTGTTTACAAATGGCGCGTCAATCTGTCAATCTCCCCACCCATGTACTATCAACCTACTCTTAACTTCAACCCGTTTTCCATGTCTGATCTTTTCACCTCGTATCGTTCATTCTGACTTTCAACATTTTCCCACCCAAGTGCTGTCAACCTACTCTGTCCGGACAAAGACTTACACATAGTTTGGCTACCAAAATCAGTAATTTCTAACGTTTTAGATAAAACACAGATAGGAAACAATACAAACACCTATAAAACTAGCGGGCAAACAATGATATGAATATGTTTGTTGTAGTCCCTGATATTCACAAGTAGTAGTAGTAGTACAAGTTGTAGTAGTAGGCATACGACGGATGATAATGTAGTAGTAGAAGTAGTACTGTAGTAGCAGTAGTACTAATGTTTTTTTTCGATTAAGAACAGTTGCATGCACAGCACAAGGCTGACTTCAGAATTTGTTCAACTAGTCACATGTTCTAAAAACATCTAAAACGACTAAAAGGGAATTTGTATAGAGAGTCAAAATTCTAAACGTCTACTGTATAGGTACTGTACAGTATTAAGGCACGGCCACCGTAGTCACCATTTCTCCGCTACCAAAAACTAATTTTTATCTAGGCATTGAGTAGAAAAGTCAAATGATTCCAGTAATTTCCCACACAACTAGCCGATAAACTAACGCGGTATCGCACACAGCATAAACGGATGCGGCGTCAACGTCAAACGAAAGACGCCATCCAAGCATGGGGTAGGAGCGCCCTCTGGCGTTCTGAAGGTGAACGACTGCAGCAGGGTCGAGAAGAACAGGAAAAGTTCCATCCTGGCCAGCTGCTCCCCAAGACACACGCGTCTTCCTGAACAACAAAACAACAACAAAAAATAGCATGAAAGTTCATCTGTGTTGGTATATAACATTATAATAACAGTTAAACTTTACGTGACCAACACAAAGTAAATTGGGACTTACCCCTAAGTCCCAATTTTCTTTGTGTTGGTCACGTTAAGTTTAACTGTTATCATAACAACAAAAAATGATTATAGTTATTATAATTAATTAGGCCAACTGTTTCAGCTATCTTTGTATCAGAAACAGCAAACGTCGTTCTGGATATAATTGTGGATACGGAATCAGTTTTTTTGGTTGGACTTTGTGTAATTTTGTGTGTACGCCTGTCCAGACAGAATAGGTCGACAGCACGTCGATGGGAAAGATTGACAGACAGAATGACAGGGTGTCAAAAGGTCAGACATTTGAAACGGGGTGAAGTTGAAGTCATAAAACCCCAATAAAGTAAATCCCGGAAGTCTGAAACCAACTTTCCGCTACAATTTTCACAGTAAGATGAACCACGCACCAGCAACAAGATACTTTTATTAGATAATCATTAATCCTAATATGACAAACCCTGTATCACAAACATGATCTGCTCCCACATTTTCCACTGTACAAAAAAGCGAGAAGAAGTTGACCTCTCTATATTAGCCCAGTGACTAGAACACTTTGTATTAGCCTAGTATAGTACCCTTGTATGTTCCTTATGTATGTATGTCTCAGTCAAGTAGTGCATCTTTTGTCTCCAATTTCCTATATACGTTTATTATGTGTCTGTTATATGTTGACCTGTACCTAGCCCGTCGTGGCATGAATGTACAATAAAGGTATTTCAATATCAAATGGGATATATGTTAGTCTCACCTCCTCCGAAAGGCATGAAGGACTCAGGCTTGTTGATGACGTTTCCTTCCGCGTCCAGAAACCTTCCGGGGTCGAACCGGTCCGGATCAGGCCAGTAGGCGGGGTCAGTGTGGAGGGAGTACAGGTTCAACAGCACCTGGGTCAAACAAACAAAAACAAACAACAACGTAAACCACAAAGTTAGAAATAAACACCATGTGAGAAAAAATATTTTCATAACTGATTCTATTTTGAAGACCTTTATAACATTTGATAGAGGTGACTTGAATTGTTGTGTAGCTGGGACAGCCACATGTCAGCTGGACACATACACATCTAACGCAGTAACCTGCCTATAACCACGTGTACTAAACAAACAAATCGAAGAAATTGGTCACAGTACATGTAGTAGGTATTATGAAGGCTTGACTGACTCGGTGGAGAAGGGACCACCAAAACATGGCCAAAATGACCAGGTGGTCCCTGTAGCATTGTAGTCAATATGTGCACACCATGGTTTTACCTTCACATGGCCCATCTTTGCAAACTATTGCTTTGTTTGTTCTTTATTCTCACTTAAACGCATCCGTATATATGGTGACTGAGTTCTGCATGGCACATGCAACATTATCCAGTTACCAGCTGCATGGTGTGTTACGCCGAAGGGCGGTTATACTGGCTATACATATACAGAAGCTGGTGTGTTACGCCGAAGGGCGGTTATACCGGCTATATACAGATACCATCATGGTGACAGACCTCTGGTCCTGGTCATTGACCTTATTTTCTCGAACGGAAGAAGAGGAAGAGGAAGAAACAGCAATATATTTTCCTTTGGTAAACATAATAAATAAAGGGTACCTGGGTCCCCTCTGGGATGTCGTATCCCTGCACTTTGACAGCCTCGGTCGTGGCGTGAGGAATAATCAGCGGAGCAATATGCCGGATCCTCATGACCTCCAGCAGACAGGCGTTCACGTAGGGCAGCTGGGAACGGTGGGACAGGGCGGGCAGACCCTCACCAACAACGGCATCAATCTCCTCATGTACCTGTGTAAAAAAACATGGCTGGTTAACTTAGATTTCAGGGGTCTAAATGTGTGTGGAAGTGTATAAAATAACGGCGTAGTCAAAGGAAAATCTATCTTTCACCAAAAAGTCAAGACCATAGCATGTTCAGGACAAAAGATACAAAATCCGGAAATTTTGCTTCAGTACCAAGGTCATCCACCATGAGGCCCATATTTGATCTTGACCTTTGTCTTTCCAAGACTTACCAACATACCAAATATCATCACAATCCATAAAAGCGTTCTGAAGTTATGCTGACCACAAAGTTGCGGAAGCATACACTGACAGACACACAGACACACATACAGACAGACACGCCGAAAACAATACCTCCATTTTTCATGGAGGTAATAATGATAAGTCCAAATCAGATGCTAGCTTTCTTACAACAGATTTGGTTTATAGAATAGGCTGCTAACTTCAGGTTGGTAGGTTGTTGCAAAGAATAACCTCCTTGGTTGTTGAGTACCTTCTTTTGGATGTCGGGGTTCAAAGTCATGTAGAGCAGACTCCACAGCAGGGTGTTGGTGCTTGTCTCCGTTCCCGCGAAGAAAAGGTTCTGGGCCATGTACATGACGTTCTCCTCCGTCAGACCGTCAACTTTTCCCTGCAGTTCCAGCTCCAGCAGGCAGGCGTCGAGGAAGTCTCGCGGGTTCTCGCGATCCAGGTTCTCGCGATGGCGGGCTATCTCGTCCCACAACACTCTTTGAATCTTGGAGTTCTGCTTCATCACTTCCTTACAGACCCTGTTTACTGTGAAAAAAAGAACACAGGAATTAAATTTAGACTAGAGAAGTAACATTTGCTTTTGTAACATTTGCAAAGCAAATGCATAATGTTTACCTTCGGACATGGTCTGCCCTGTTAATTTTTAGGCTCAAACATATTCACATACATGTAACGTTACTACTAGTATATGGTGACAGGAGCAGAGCAGACCATGAAGTTTGCAACATTATGTAACCCAACACCAGTCACCATGGTGACAGACGTCAACAAATCATGTCATTGGCCAGGTCAGAGGTTAGTGTTTGGAGAAGAAGAAGAGGAAAATGAGTAAAGGAAGGAAAACATAATTAATGGGAGATGATTCTGCATCCATAAAGTGATGTAGAGGGGCATTTGTCTTTTTATTCCAAGGAATGTCTAAATTGAAGACTTGCGGAAAGTACTTTTGGCTTTCGTGACCTTCAAGTTTACCCTGGCAATTTCCTGTATTTGACCGTTTGACCTCATGATTCTGCCTGTCAATCTTTCTCTAATTAGAAGTGCGTGTCAACCTAGTCTCAAGTACTGTGTCTAACCTTTCGACCTGCGTGATGTTGTCTGTCAATCTCAAAGAAAAAAAATGCCATGAAAACGCCAATATCTGACTATCATATAGCCACTCTCTCATTGGTCGAACCGCTAACTGCCATGCTATCATTGGTTGGAATTCAAAATGTGATTGGCAGTTTGCGTTAGTCTAATAGTATGTATTGCTACTCACTTCCAGGAAGAAACCGTTAGTCTAATACTCACTTCCAGGAAGAAACCGTTAGTCTAATAGTATGTATTGCTACTCACTTCCAGGAAGAAACCGTTAGTATAATGGTATATGTTGCTACTCACTTCCAGGAACAAACCGTAACAAAGGGAAGACGCTAATGATCTGCCCCGCCCCCAGTTCAGCTATGACGTTCGCGATCGCCTCCGAGAGCTCGCGGAAAGTTTCGTCCTCATAGTCGTAACGCGTCCCGAACGTCATGCCACAGATGACGTTAGCTACGGCGACGCCTAGGTCGTTAGAAACGTCGAAGGGTTTTCCCTGGTACTCAGCGATCTGGAGAAAATAAGAAAAGTTTATTGCAAATACATGCCCGGGGGTAAATTTCAGTTACAAACAACATGTATGAAGAAAGACAATACAATGGTATGTGGGACTACGTCTAACATTATACTACATTCTACAGCATACATGGTACTAGTTTTGCTGGGTTTGACTTCTTCAGGCTTTTTAGGCAATGGAGGACAAGCACATAATATGTGGGTTCTTTGAATTTAGTAGTTAAGTTGTGACAAGTTTACAATTTTATAATGTGAGAGAGAAAGAGAGGTAGAGAAAGAATGAAAGAGAACAAAGACTAAGTGAGGGGATGAACTTTAATGCATAAGAAGATAACACATTGTTATTAATTTCATACAAAACTATAAGAGAGAAAGTGCGAGAAAGGAAGAAAAGAAAAAGTGAGTGAATGAAAAAGAAAGAGCGTTAACTTTTGTGCATGGCAAGCTTTGTGCAAAAATCTTTAAGTTAATATAGAAAAAAAGCAACAAAGAACGAGGGTGGGAGGGAGGCGGAACAAAAAATTGACAAAAGGAGAGAATAATTAAAGAAAAGGCTGAGGAGAAAGAAATAGATAAAAGATGGGAAGACGCAACTTACTACTATCTAATCTTATCTTACCCTGTTGCGGAGACAGCCCGCCTCCTCTCGGATTTTCTCCTCAATGCTGCCAGTTCCGACCTTCATGCCCAGGTTCTTTAAGGCGGTGGTAGCAAATCTCCTTCTCTGCCTGAACTCAGTCCCCCAACGTGCAGAAACAATGTCTGGAGGAAAAAAGAAGACGTCTTATTCGCACATATACAATAACCGAACTTCAATATTAAGCAAGGCGTTCGTACATGAAAAAAAAAAGACCGATACAACTTTTTTGCTCCGTTTTTGAGGTTATATGTGAGTGCACACTTAGGCCGTCGAAAAAATAATTCGCTTTCAACTTTCAATTTTAGTCCTGAAAAAATAAGGCCGGTACTCGGTGGGTATGTATAGGTATTAAAATTTTGACCAAACTGATCAAACAAATGATTTTAACTACTAGTATGTAAAACGGAAAGGCATTGATACATGTGTATCAGGACAGAACCTTTCATTACCCCAGTAGTGTGTATTCTGCTAAATTTATGTTTTTGTACCATTCAAGTCTTGCCAATTGTCAAATAGAAAGAGCCACCGGAAGAACCAAGTATAATAGGGGTGTTGTCTACCCTGTTTTTCAACGCTGTCTAGTTCATTTTGACCCATATCTCATGGTTGCCTTCTTGGAGAGAAAGAAGTACATAATGTATTCCCTGGATCGCATGGAGAAACAGGTGCCATATGTACATGTTAAACTAAACTATCTTATCAAGCTTGCAATTGGGTATTGGATAAAAGGAAGAAATTGTGTCCCTGTGGATAACTTCGGAAATGGCTACTGATAGGCAGGGAAACAATAGTTACCTTTTCCAAAACCAGTAACAGCATCAAACAGGTAGTTTGGGGGCCTGGAGGCGAACAGCTCGGACCTGTCCACGAGCGCGTCCTTGACGGCAGCGTGGCCGTTAAGAACCACCACATCTTCCATCCCCATCCTGACGGTGAAGACGTCCCCGTACTGCCGCCTCCACGCAGTCAGCTGCTGAGGAGGTTCCCGACCCAAGGCGAGGAGGTGCCCGAGAACAGGCACACGTCCTGCCGGGTAGGGAGGCAGGTCTCCAGGCCGGCGCTTCAAGAAGAAACATGCCAGGAGAAAAGCCAGGCAAAAGACGAGAAAGGTTTGCAGAGTGAGTCCAGATATTTGTAAAATATCCTGAGCGGACTCAGCTATCCAGACAGTTACGGCCATTTTTGTCAAGAACGCAGACAACAACGTCTTTTTTATGCGTGCTCAATTCCAGTTCTGCCGGTCACTCGACGAGGTTGTCCGACGACAGATAATCAAAAGAAACTGGGTCGATTTGTTGGGAGTGAGGCCTATAAGGAAACCCTATAAGGGAAAATTGTTGTTTTTCCGGTTTCTCAACTGCCGCTAGCAAAAACCCACCGAGCCTAGCTTTCAAGCTGCTAATATTTCGAACGCTGACAAGCTGCTAATATTTCCAATCTGACAGCTCAATTCTAAACACCCCGAAAAAAGCAATTTTCTACCAAGTGAATTGTGTGAAATTGGATAAAATGCCCCAACACTTCAAAACACACTGAAAACAAGCTGTTTAGCGTCAACAGGATACCGTCCTGCGCTATGCAATCTGGGAGATTTTACCTGCCAGGCGCAATGCGTCATGGGGATGGGAAATAGGTGAATGGGTCTGTTACGTAACATTTAGTTGCCAGTCTTACTAATGTAAAACGTGTCCACGTAATTCAGCCTTTCGGCTGCGAAGTTGAATGTACAATACAGTTGGTGAATAAACAATTATCTGAATGCCTATCTGTGCACGGCGTAGTCTAAGAGATATCTTCTGCTCTAGATGCTCTAACTTACAATTTCTGAAAACTCACAACTTGTAACAACACAACTAATGCTCAGATCACATTTTCAAATAAGAGTGCACGTGGCCCTCATTACACTGAAACTTTATACATATTTACAGTTAGAATGAACGTATCTATTTTGCATACAGTCTTTCGCAACCAAAAAATGAAGGGTATATTTTGTTCTGTAACTTGACATCTTGGCAAGTCTTGATGCTGAATCATTCTTGAGTCATCATGGAGAGGCAAAGGGCAACTGGTACTACTTCTGCCAGAGTCCTCTCTCAGGTCGGGATACAGACGCCGGCTTTAACTTGTAGGTAGCAGTTTGTTGTCACGCCGCTAGGTGTCGCTATTTGTACAGATGCTAACAAAAGAAAATGACAAACAGACGACTTTAGAGCCAAGACAGTCGTATTTTCTATTTGTGACAGATCTTCAGTGAGTTTTGAAATTTAGAGATTTTTTATCATCTCGTTTTTTTTTCTTTCTGAACCGACATTTTGTACCAAATAATTCAAGTTATGAAATTTTGAATGTACATTTTAACGTCGTTGAAGAGACAGGTAATGTCTTCTATCATGTATTGAAAGTGTCTTCCTTTGCTGTTCGTCATAGCAAGAGATATTCAATTGTATTCACCTGTCATGTTTTATATATCATAAAATACAAATCAGATAATTAGAAAGTTATTGTTCACACACATTATATCGCTGCGGTACGATGTGTTTATGTGAGAAATACACCCAAACCATAAATATTCGAGACCCGCATACTTATACGTGCAACCCGTGTACAGCAGGGCAAGGGTTAAAATTACAATCATCATTGTAAAGAAGAATACGTGGTATAAAAATGTGTCTAAAACATAGCTCGTTGAAACGAGTGACTCACCACACTGCGTAATGTCTAGAATGCTTTCACCAATGGATCAGCGAAGCCACGTGGGTCAACACCTTCTCTGTCAGAATTACCATTTTGTCGACGTCGTCTTTTTTGTACGCTACTGCTGGGATGTCGGGAATTGCCCAAAGGTCTGGGTAGCGTGTTGATTCGTTGTTGCATTTCAGGAGGGACAGTTCATGGGCAACCTGAACCACCTCATTGAAGGTAGAATGACGTGCGACAACATCCCTAGCCAAGTCGGTGAGCCGATGTCCTCGATGCTGAAATCCATCCACGACAAACAGAGCAGCCTTCAGGGCCTTCTCTGTGGCTTGGTGACACATGGAAGCCGCGTTACTGTAGAATCTGCCATCACTACAAAGTCGTGCAGCATGGAAGTCATTACTTGCCTGTCGAAACCATCTGCGAGCCTCGTCGTAGTTTGGTATGACGACTAGCGATTGTGACCCATTACTGCAGCTGCCCCGGGAGCTGAACTCACTCTCGGAACCTCCTACCGCGACGGTACGACTTTCGTTGCGACCCCTTGGTTCAATTATGCTTTTTTCGAGTTGAGCAAATATTTCAATGTAGTCTGAGTAGCACAAACACCTTTTGTGTAATTTGCGTCTACGTCTACGTCTTCGCACGACTTGACGCTGCATCATTCCCGAGTTATCATGGGGAAGCGATGGAAGACTGCTTATGGCAGTCGAGGTACGTTCAGGCGGCGTAGAGAAGAGCCGTATTGGTCTCGTGCTTGGGGCGCCTTGGTTAACAGACGATGGTGGTCCCGATCCTCTGACGTTCAAATGTAATGACACTTTATCAAGGCGAATGCCACTATGGTAGCCCATTGAAATTGCTCTTTGATACGACCTATGGTCGACTGCGCTGCTTCCAACTGACAATGACGATGCAGCTTCATTCTGTCTAAGCTCTTCGTCCTCCCTAAGCAATCTTTTGATTTCACCCCTGATGTGTTCACTCACTCGTCGAGCATAGTCTCCGTTACTTGTATTTGACTCTGGATGCCAGTACAGAAACAGCCGATTGATAACCCTCTTGTGGTCATCCTCGTCTTCCAAGTCCCAGGCCTCCTCGAGAACGTCTGTCACATGTTGAAGAGCCTCCGTCTCTTCCATAACCTGTACTGCTTGTTTTTTGTCGATTTTGTACAGGTCAGTAACTTTCACCGGCATGATTTCCTCATCAGAATTTACCTGTATTTCGTAGACGCGTTGAAAATCTAGAATCAGATCTGTCTGTGTTTGGAAGCTTTCACCACCGGTTGGTACCAGGGCTAGCTCTTGGCCAGATGCGATAGCTTTCGGTTCGGCTCCCTCTTCTTTGCTTTTCAGTTCACCTAACGTTTCCTCTTTTACGACCTTTGCGAAGATGGCTTGGAAAACGTGTTCTTTCCTATCAGCGCTAGGCAGCCGATAGGCTATAAGCTCTCCCTCCTCAAAGTCTATGTCTGGTCTGTGGCTTACACGAAATTCTTGACAAGTTGAACCCAGGGTAAACCTACGGGTAAACCTCGGACGGAGCTTCATAACCTCTTGCAGAACACTTCCAAGATCCATGTTGTACTCCTTGAACACATCACAAAGCGCTTCTGCAAGTTGGAGATGGAAGGTTGCACAAGCGTCATCCCCTAACTGAGTGGCATTGTGTTTCATGTAGATTTTAACACAGCTTGAGCTATCACTTGACATCACTGACAGATACGCTTGAAATTCTTTGCCGTTCTGTGACAGGGTGCTCTGATTTTGCAAGTCGAGCTGCTGCAGTTCTATAATACTGTAGCAGTGCAGTTCTATGCCGGCAAGCCTCGCATGGATCTTGGGGATCAATTCGCTTTTGTTGGTGAATTTTCCTCTGTCTGATGTGGCAAGTGCTAACGAACGAGCAAACGTCTCATCTAGGAATGTCTTGGTAAAGAATGCGAGGAAAGGACATTCTTGTCCATCCTTACATGGGGTAGAGTTTTCAGAGAACTCCTCTTCAGTGATGTCACTCAAGAATACCGGGCGAAGGTCTTCAGGAATAGACTCCACAGCTTCTCGAGACAGCCTTAACAAAGGTGTAAGAACTTTCTTATGACTCTCCACGCTGCTCCGATCATAATCTTTGCTTTCAATTATGACTATGTCTTGTGATGGTACTAGGGTCTTGAGTTCAGTTGGAAGGTAAAGTACCGGATGGGATGTTTGGGATCTGAAGTCCTGCCACTCTTTTGGTCCGTTTGCTCCGCATGATAGGTCGACGATACGCCCAACTGCCGCACAAGCAGCCTTCCAGGGCGAGGTGTTTTCATCAAGGGGGGTTACTGAGCCGTACCTGTTCACGAATTCGCTCAGAACAAGTGCGTACTTTCCTAGTGTTACGCTTTCTGTAACTCCTTGACATCTGAATAAAGCCTCGTACTGCCCTAACGGTCTGAACAGATGAAAGAGATATCCATCGAAGACTTGTCTGTCTTCATGGCTCATTTCGAAGACAACCTTCGCTCCGACGCTAAACCGGTGGTTAGAACCCGCTTCGACAATGACACACGGGACATGAATTAGTTTCCTACTGATTTGCTGACAATTGCCGCATCCTTCTCCAGGAAGCAACAATTTGTCTTCGAAGCAATGAGATGCAGATGTGCAAGACTTCTGAAAGAAGTGGTAGATTCTCTCCATGACAGAAAGGACATTGTGATCAACATCTACATCCTCTACTTCAGAACAGACGTTGACACAGTTGGCGATGACATCGTCAAGTGAAGGACGGTTCTGCACGCCCAGCAGATTCTTCAGTTTATCTGTGCGGGGACTGGCCCACTGCGGAAGAACCAGAGACGTGGTCCAGACTAAGGATTGCTGATCAGATGTCACCGACCCGCGGAAACAGATGGTTCCCTTGTCCACACTCGGGTGAATCTCTGTCAGATGCTGGGGTGCTGGGTGACACGGGAGGAAATAGCTTTCCGATACCTCTTCCAGCACAGACTCAAGGTCATTCACATGCTTGAACAGGTATGTCACCAATTCCCTGGCCAGATGCTCAATATTTGTGGACTCTGGAGACCGCTTTCCACATGACTGTTCCTCAACCGTCTTCACACACTGTAAGTATCGGTTTGGATCCATTGTTGTTTTTAAGCCGACTTCCACCAAGAAGTCTATCCAAGTCTTCTCCCAGAATGGACTTGGAGGAAACTGAATGAAGTCCACATGGTCCTTGGCCACAGAAAATAGTGACACATTTGGGTTGTAAAACTGATCAGAGGTGACCAGTTTACCGTCAATATGTGGGATAAATGCCGTCGACCTTAGTTTCTGCAGGAGCTGTTTCCTTTCTGAGCTGGCAATCGGGAGAGAAGGCAGTAAATCGTCTTTGATGTAAGTGATGTACGGTATGCACTCCTCAGATGTCTTCAAGAGATTGAAAGAAGGAAGGATATACTGGACATATAGTATCACATGGCTAACTGTCGTCACTCCCACAGCTTTGTACAGAGCGAGCAAGGCCTCATTGCGACTCAAAACCACACGTCCAGTGTGCTTTAGCAGAGCATTAATGTCCAATACATCATCATCACCACCACCATCATCATCGTCGTCTTCGCCGCTCACATCTGTGGAAAATGCGGGACGCCACTGCTTTGCACCCTCTTCTGTCCAGCACTTGTCCAACACAAGTACCTCCTTGACACCACAGAGACTTATGTGCACCCCGTCTAAGGTTTGAAACACAGGGAGGCTTTTAAGGATGTCAATTTCACTGCCTCTGATGTCACCAATGTCTCGCTGAAGGTGTATAAGTAGATCAGAACACTCCTGTTCGTTCAAAATGCCTTCCAGACTGTGCCCCTCTTTCATGACTCCTTCAAGCACAGTTATCACGTCTTTGCTACTTGTTGGTGAAGCGAGACTTTTGTGGATGATGCTTAATCCTTCACCTAGAAGATCCTCGTTTACAAATGGACATTGCAGTTTCTTCAAGATACCCAGAACTTTGTCGGTTTCTCTTGTAAAGGTCATCTTTGCATTGGCAAGAGAGAAAAGTGACGGCCGTTTGCTAGGAATGATCTGCCAGTTCTCAATGGGGCGAAGATCCTGTTTATTCTTTGTGCTGTCGAGTAAGAATTTCCACAGAAGTTTTATCCACTCTGTGGTTGGTTGCGTCGTTGCCTTCTCTGGGTGCCAACTGCAATGTCCAGTTGCTGGAATCAAACATTCAGATGGGAAGATGTCTGGATGGCACTTTGCTAGCAATGCCATGTCTTGCATGTCGAAACGCTTGATGACTTTGCCTGCTTGGTCTTGTTGAAGAAGAGAGAACAACAGGTCTACAAGGGTCTCGTGGGCAAACCTGTATGAGTACTTTGCAGAAACAAGCGCATGGTACTTGGATACGAACGCGTGTTCATCCTTATTGAATCGGTAGAGTTTCTTGTCTTGTGCAAGAAGCAAAGGCACATCATGGAGGCAGGAATCCAGGTCTTGGGACTCCTCCCGAACCGGGTACAAGCAGTACTTCAGGAGCTCTTGAAGACAAGAAGCAACTTTAGTAAGGCAGGTATCTTTCAAGTCGTAAAGGTCTTGTGCCCGCAGCCATTCGACAACTGAAGATGGGGAAAACTTCTCAACGGGGCTTCTGGCATGTTGGAAGTTTGTGTACACATTTTTCATGTATTCCGTTTCAACAATATTGCACCCAATGGCTAAGAGAACCACCTTGGCGGAACGGCTTTGTGTGTGCCCTGGACATTCGGCATCATCCACGTCGTCTCTTTCATCTTCGAACAAGCATTCACTGGGTCTTTTAAAGTGTACTATAGGCTGCTCGTCGTTCACAACCACGGGCAAAAGAGTTCCGTCTCTGCTTGCGATGATGCGGTACACTTCAGCTGCTAACGCGTTGAACGAAACCGCCTCTGCCTTCTCGTTCACCACAGGAAACAATGAGCAGTACTGTTCAATTTGGTCGAATCCTTTAGTAGAAGACGTTGGTGACAGCAACTCTTCTTTTGCAGCTACCAGTAAGTCAAAGTAAGCCTGCGCCAACAGCTGTGTTTTCAACAGCTCGTTCCACTTCCCATGAAGACCACTGCTTGATAGGTTTCTCCTGGATGAATCTAGGGCGAAGTGGCCGTTGACGTGAACGGGAAGACACGTCGTTTTTGTTGGCAAAGGAAGGTAGCAAAACGCTTTACCCTCAACGATGGGAGGTTGTGATCTGTCAAGCCGAGTCTCATCAAGCAAAGATGCAACAGCTACACGTGGCACAAAGTACTTTAGTCGGGCAAATGACAGCTCTTCTGTGTGGAGGTCTGGTGGCTTGTCGAACCCCACTCTCTCTGAAATAAGCCACTTATTGACAGATACCTCCTCGTCATCAGTCTCCTCAATGTCAAGTTGGTACGTTTCCTGTTTCGGTGTAATGGATAGCATGCCATGTGTCCTGTCAGTCCTCTGACTTTGTGATGATTGCCACTTGATGTGTTGTGCAAGAGCACCTCGCTTGGCCTTTGTTGCCTCGGACAATACCTTTCTTACAACATAGTGTTTAGTGTAGCGTTCTTGTTTTTGTTGATTTGGATCATTTCCTTCAATTGTGGCGAAGGACACTTTCTCGATGTTATTGAGAAACAAGATGGCCTGGTTGGCTTTCTTCCAAAATGACTCCATCATGGAGTCAATATCAGTGGATTGAAATGTATCGTCTGTGATGTTGCTTGATGGCATTCCTTCTGAGCGTAAAGGCAAGCGAAACAAAGTGGAACCTTTTAAAGGGGCTTCTTGATTTGGCACGACGAACGTTTTTAGGACGTCTGGAAAGCTATCTTCCAAAGCTTCCATAGGAACCAACCGCCCTGGCCTTCTCATTGTAGCTCCTGGGATATATCGAGTGTGTGGGTCAAATATACACATCCGTTGTGAGTCTGTGATGAAGGAGGGGCAGTCTGTGATGTGATACACGGCGTTGAAGCCGACACCGAACTTCCCTATGGCGACATCCGTCTCTTGTTTGTTTCCCTTTCCGATCTTCTGGATTGCCTTGATGTCACTTTGACTGAATGTTTTGTTGTTGTACACCAGTAGAGCTGGACCCTGCAGATGGTTCCATTCTGTGCTGAAGATCTTTTCCTCTGAATGACGTCTTTTGTCGTGTATGAACTTGACTTCAGTTGCTCCTGCATCGTCTGCATTCTGAAGCAGTTCTTTGAAAATGTCGATTGGTGTGGAATATGATTCCAGAATGCCCTTGATCCTGTCGGTGAGTTCCTCACCTTGGCCAAATTCTTCTCCAATGTCGCCAAAGTCCTCAGCTGTTTGGTCGACCAGTTTGGACCTCACAGTCTCCACACCAAAGAAAATCACGGCTTGTTTGGGTGGGATATCGTGGTGGACGAAGAGGTAGTCGTGAGTCGAAGGGTCTTTACGTCGCCAAGGGGCGTCGTCGTATGTAAGCTCCGGAATTGTTCGAAGAATCCCTTTCTGATCAGGCAGGAAGACTCTGCTTCTCAAAGACATTTTGATGCCAAGACGGCCATGCTCTTTTTCAAGGTTATGAGCCAGAGCGAGTGAATCCTGAAGGTCGACTGCGTCAAGTGGCTGGCCTCCGTACTTGTCTGCGATATTTTTCAAAGCGTCTACAAAGTCTGTGGCCTCAAAATACTCCCGGACTCCACAAGATCTAAGAAAAGTACTGTACTTTTGAAGTTCGACTGGTACAACTTTGAGCATTTTCATAGCTCGTCCTTGATTCTTGAAGGCCAGCTCTCTCGGTCTTACAAAGTTGCCGTCCTTGGTGATGTAGACAAATGGCCTGTCGGTGAGATTGTTCTTTACATCATCATCACTGATGACACATTGCTCCCTCCTCTTTCCATCCTGGGTTATTGTCTTACAAGTGGTGCTCTGAAGAAGCGCATACACTGCATGGCAAAAGGTCTGAAGGGCTGGTAGACTGTCCTGATCCGTAGGTGGGTTATCTGCGACCATCAGCAGATGCTGCACGGCGATCCTTGCAAAACTTGTCATACTCGCCTTGTTTTTGTTAAGAGCAGGCTTTCCCATGATGAATGTGTAGAGAAACGACATCCTTACAAGAGCTTTACGGTGGTCTTTTCCCTGATACAGCTTCTCACAAGATGTTGCACGTTCAAATATTAAGTTCCATGGGAGAGTGTTCACCATCATCCCCAGTTGCCTAAGAGATTCCATTCTCTTAAGTTTCCTGAGCTCTTCACCGTATGGAAACCTTTGGTCATCGTCGTCGAAAAGTTTGGCCACTGTGCCCTTAGGGTCGACTAATTCACATGGGCAGCGCAGTACGTTACCTTGTGGAGAGCTTGGCACACAAGAGAGCTCTCGTAACGCCGTGTACGATATTTGTCTTTCTGCTGAATGTTCAGCAAAGACCTCATCAAGTAGATAAAGAACAAATTTGTCGAGGATAGACCTGTGATCTGACAGATAGCCTTTCTTCACTGCAGGACAGAAGACCCCACTGAGCAAGGTATCCAAGCTGAACGCTCTTTTTTCGACAGTTTTCTCAGGGTCGTTGCACGTACGAAACCCCTCATACACCCACCGAGGCAGATCAACAACCGGCGCTTGCTCCTGGACATGGTCCATCCAAATGGACAGTATCTGTAGGGCTTCACTGCCAACTGGGCTCTCTCTGACAGAGGGGTGTAGGAAGGAGGCCTCTTTCATGCATATCCGATTTTTCTTCAAGGAGAGTAGGATCTTCGATGGTGACTTCAAGACCTTCTTATAGAAGCAAGGCACAAGATTTTCTCGAAACAAAGGATCTTGCATGTTTGCTTTGTTTGGCCAAATGCCAAATGGATCACTGATATGCGATACAGAATTGCCTTTCACAAGTGCATGATGTTGAAGAAGGGTAAGATATGCAGAGGGGATAGCGTCCCGTAGAAGACACTTATTCCACTCCAATTCTATTGGTTGCGTCATGCCCGAGCCAGAACTCTTACAGATTCCTTGTCGGCTTGAAAGTATGGCAAACGGAGCATTCACGTGTATGGGCAGGCCCGTGCATTCTGGCAGAGGGAGAAAACAGAAAGCTTTCCCTTCGATTCTTGTTGGAAGAGCCGTGCCTGTTTGGAGGCATGCTGCAACACTTGCGCATGGAAGCAGACCGTTCTCTCTTCCCTCTTGAGTTTGAGCCATCTTCAGAGATTCAGCTGATCCAATGCAGGAAGAGATCATCCAACTCGTGGATATACCTGTCACTGGTTCTATCGCTATCCTGCTGTCAAATACTTCCATTGAGACGTCATTTAGTCTCGATGGTATTTCTTGGAGACATCTCTTCTGTTGGTCTTTCATGTACGATGATGTTATTTGCAGGAGGCCGGGTGGTTGGTCTTTAGTCTGTTGGTAGTTTAGTGGTAGGGACTCTATCAGAGGCTTGACTGTGCTCTTAACGTGCATCAGGTCTTTGTGTCTCCCCTCTTCATCTATTTCCATAACTGTCACAGAGCGAACATGTTCGGTGAAGAGTAAGAGAGTGTCGAGACTCTGAGCAAAGTGGGTTAAAAGCTGAAACAATCGCTCACGATCGTACATTGTGCTGCTGATTTCACTACGCTGGGCCTCTTGCTCAGTACGGAAAGGAAATCGGAACAGTGTGGCTGGATACCTGTCAGAGGTGAAGATGTCACAGTCAAATATGCCGTCGAACGGCTTGAACTGATCACTGTAAGTACTTCGTACTTCATCTCGACTCAAGTCAATCTGGATCCCTGGTTCACTGTGATTCACCAGTGGTGACAGATGTGTTGTGTGCGGATCGAAGCAGACGAAGTAGTTCCTACTGATGAAGCTTGGCACGTCTGTGATGTGATAGACAGAGTTGAATCCCAAGCCGAACCTGCCGATTTTGTTGGTGTCCTTTTTCTTCGTCGCTCCAGAGATCTCCGTGATGTTTTGTATGTCTTCGTCTGTGAACACCTTGTTGTTGTAAGCCCAGAGTGCGGGGCCTTGGCAATCGGCCATGCCATCGGACAACAATGACTTCCTAGCTTGTGAGTTTTGTCTCCAATCTACGGCAAACCTCACTTCAGTTGCACCTGCATCGTCAGCATTCTGGATGAGCTCATAAAAGATTCCAGAGCCTTCTTTGTACTCATCTATGATTGTCTTCAGTCGTCTTGTGATTGGTTCCTTCTGTCCGAAGAGTTTCATACCTGGTCCAAGAGCTTTAGGTTGAACAATTTTGTGCGTCATGGATGGGATTCCAAGCAGGTTAGCCATTGTGGGAGAAATACTTTGGTGTAGCATTCGAAATGATTTAACCTCTTTGTATTCAGGTCCTTTCTCACGAAGCCAATCGCTATCACAGTACATGCAGTCCTTGGGTGGTGCAAGTCTAGTCTGGCCATCGTCGTCTTGTGTCGGAACCAACAGACCCTCTGCAGTGCACTCTTGAGTGCAGTTTTTCGTCAGAAAGTTGATGATTTTTATGCAAAGGTCTAGTTCCGACTGAGACATCGACCCTTTCCCGTCCCCTTGGATGTCTTGCAACACCTTCACGACATGTTCATTCCCAAATGTCTCGGAAACTCCCATCTGCAAGAAGAAGTTTCTCAGTCCTTCGTCAGAGATGAGTTGGGGAGGGAGAACGAACAGATAAGGACTGAGATCGAAAGTCATGTCTGAACGGACGGCAACTCTCTCAGGGGAGGTAAAGTCACTCCCGTGCCAAACCCAATTTGTCAGACCAAGACGAGAAAACTCGTTCTGAAGCTGTTCACGACTCACTTGCGTATCGGCAAAGTACTGGTAAATCTGGATGATCATGTCGGAAAGAGCCCCCAACCCACTCCCTGGCGTACTATTCACGTAGGTGTGGATGACTGATTTCAGGTGCTGGGCAACCTTGTCGATTGGTGGCGGTTTTGGCCAATCGAAGGTGGACTTGAAATCTTCAGAAGCATCGCCATCTAAGATGGGCATCGTTGATCCTACCAGGTTTATCATCGTCTTGTCAGCTACATCCTGAGGCCTAGCCGTTACTACGTTCTTCCCAAACCACCCTAATTCAGGAGAATAGCCTTCTGGTCTCTGTCGTCTGCAGGGCATCCACTCATATCTTTTGAGTAACTGTTGGTCGCCTTCAGTGAAACGTAATGAACGGGGCTTGTTCATCACATATTTAAAAACCATCTTGGCCTTTTTGATGGCAATACGTGGTTCCATATCTGACACCAGCCTGGCACTTTTCAGTACATCATTTATTGCCGGTTTAGTCTTCAGCCCCAACTGCTTCAGTCTGGAAAAACGTGGCTCTGTACGGTATTCACCGGTAGGAAACACGTTTTCACCCGCAAAAAGGTCCTGGAGCTCAGAACGCGTGGGGTCGAAAAGTTCTAAGGGTTTAGCAACTTCACCACCGTACAGAGTAACGAATGCGATGCTCTTAATATGGTCTACGATGCCGCTCGCTTGAAGCTGTAGGGAGGGTAGCCTGTCAAGGACCCAGGTCATTAATTTCTGCACATTTGTAGGAGGCAAGTCTGGCGTCACGGGTAGAACGTCTTCGATTAATAGCTTTGCCAGCGTCAAGCTTTGGAGCTTTAGTAGCCTGTGAATGTTCACAGAACTGCTATCACGTGAAGAGAGAAGCCACCGTTTCAATGGTATGCGTACATCTTTGGGAAAGTCGTCGTTTGGCATTGCCACAGACGTGCACTTGGCTGATGTAAACTCAGTCGGGGCAGATGGTCCGGTGGTCTTCTGGCGTTCCAGTATTGGAAGGTTGCTCAATACGATTCTGCGTTCTGCCGTCAAGTCTTCGTCTTCCATTTTTGAAAGGAAACGTCTCAGCCGGACCTTCTCGTCTCTGGTCAGCAAGGCTCCAACCAATTTCTCCCGTCCATTGAGAACGGACAAGACCCCTGCTGGCGTCGGTTGAACAATGTAGCGTGACATCAGACATTTGTGTGGAATGACTGTCGGCACTGCGGAGTCTACGAGGTTAACGCCAACTTTTTCCATGATGTCACAAATGCCGAGTTGTTTCGAAGATCCTCCCTCCTTCATCATTGCCCCAAATTTGCGTAGTGGAAAGAGGGTGACATCTCTGCTCTGAAGAGATGGAGTGTTTGCTGGAAGAAGCGGTAAACTCTCAAATTGCTCCAGCGAATCAGGAAACTCTTGTATTATCCATTCCCAAGTTGTTGAAAGCCATTTCTTTGGGGGCTGCGCAACCTTTTCTGTTTGCCATAGAATCTGTCTCGGGGACCCTTGGAGCCATTGTTGAGGTAACGCGGAGGGTAGTAGCCTCACAACGTCACTGGGGGTCAACTCTCGAACTTGTGTAACCCTTGTCTGTGCCAAGGTCACTAGGTGTTTTGAAAGTTCTGGGCCGATGTCATCATCAACCAACCGGTGGTTGAGGCATGGTAGAAGACTTGCGGGGTGTCTTTCAGAGGACAGATACACAACTGGCCCCGCGTTTGCACGTGTAAAACACGTGAACTCATTCGACTTGAGAGGTAGGAGAGGTAAGCCTACCATGTCCTTGTAAGAGCTGTCAGACATTGTGTATTCCAGCAGATGAAGCTTGTTTAGTCTGGTAGTATTTAATTGCATATCGGGGATACGCTTCAGTGTTTTTCTTACCAAATCGGGAGACACGGATTTTGGCTCGTCGTCAGGTTCTGTTACTACAGTGGCTTTCACATGTACTGGAAGCGTCGCAACGTCGACACCTGCACCAAGCAGTATTTCATCGACTGCGTATTTGATACCTTTGTTGTCAATGTCATTGGTGCAAATCTCAGAGAGATGTAGCCATTGTCCGTCTGAAGCCTTCGTGTGAAATACGGATAACTTGACGACATTCGCTGCGAATTGGGAAAGAAGATCTTCCCATCTTGTTGTCATTTGCAATTGGTCTGGCCATGAGTCGTATACCAGGGACGGTAAGGCGGTGCGGGATTCTTTAAAGTGAACTGTGGCTGCCTCTAGTAGCTCTGCATATGCTTCAGGAATGAGACGTGTGAGTAACAGCTTGTTCCACTCGGTCGTGTCGTCTCGTTGGTCGGATGACTCCCACGTCACAGATCTCCGGTTGTCGCTGAGGCCGAAGTACCCGTGGACGTGTACTGGGAGGCCGGTGGAGTTCTCTGGGTCAGAAGGCAGTGGAAGGAAGCAAAACACTCGCCCCTTTGGAGGCTCGTGTGCCCTCATTGCCACCCCTACCCACGGTATGACTTCTAGCCGGCTGCACAACTGCTGTTCCACGCGGTCAGGAAGATCGTACACTTTGGTCTTCACTAACCACTCAGATGTCGCCTCTTCGCCTTGTGCGTTTTTAGTTCTTATTATCACTGGTTCGCAGCTCTCGACATCCCTTTTCCCCAAGGATACATCTTCGAGAAATCTTGCCCACCGTGGCTTGTCGTGCTCTTTGTCAATTGTGATAAGAGCAACTTTTTCGCCATGGATGCCATACCTCTCTTTAAAGGTAACTTTCTCTACGTTCTTGAGAAATAGGAGGAGACAATCGCTGTCCGCAATGAGTTCACTGTAACGCTCGCGCATTCTTGCCGGTGTGTAGATGGTATCCGACAGATCAGATGGAGCGGTGCGCAAGGGGAAACGAAACAGCGTTTGGGGGTAATGGTATATCTTATTCCCTAGCTTGTCTAAGAAGGGAAGGAATTCTGCGTACCTCCTCATCCAGCCGGCGATCTTGAAGCGCCGCCCGCCTTCAGGAAAGGCTGTGTTCAGTGGATCCAGGATGAGGATGTAGTTTCCACTCATAACGCTTGGCATGTCTGCGGGAAAAAAGATACAAGGGAAATGGCCTATGCTGTAAAGTTGCGAGTATGAATATAATTGCTACATATCATTATGAAATAAAGACTAAGCTTTAACTTCCAACACTTAGATTACGGAATTGAAACTTACCCAAATTTTCGGTTGACTCCATCAACCTTGTTCTATCAGTACTAAGTGTTGGAAGTTAAAGCTTAGTCTTTATTTCATAATGACTTGTACCAACACAGATGAACTTTCATTCTATGCCACATATCATATCATGTGTGAAATATGTCATGTGTAAAACATATTGACCAGGGTCGCATAGTAGAGAAGCTAGTCCTTAGCTTTCCTCCAGTTGGCTAAAAAAAACACAGATAAATGTATTTAAAAAAAAAGATATCTATTTTTACTCGGCTAGTATCCCGTCATGACGCGACATTTTGAATAATGTTATCACTGAGTCTGACGTATGAAAAATTGTTGTAATTTGCAAGTCTAAAATTTCACTCGGTGCTCACCATGACATTAGCGTGAAATATCTAAATTTATCAGAAATATCTTTCCATATCAATCATTAGATTATGCCAACGTGATCATACGTTACACAGAATTTCAAAAAAGGGTTTTTTTCATTACATGATAATTCATAATCCTGTTATCCCGTATCAGATACACTCGACTGCTACCCCATATACACAAACCGAACAAGAAGCTTTTAATCAATATAGGAAAGAAAACCAAGTAGATGTCGGGAGGGAAACACTGGCTGAATAAAATAAGAAGTGACACAATTCTTTACCACGCGTATATTAATTGCCCAGTCTCATTCACATTTGATATAGTGCAATTCAAGCCACGAAGGTGACCAATTACTAGTATTTGAGTAACATGCATCGTCATCCTGTTCACGCATCACAACCAGCAATGCCAAGCGCATTTCCGTGTCTAGTTACCTGTGATATGATACACTGAGTTGAACCCAACCCCAAACCGCCCAATCCGCAATGGGTCCTTCCGTTTCGCCCCCTGTTCGGTGTCTTTGATACCCTGCCAGTCCTGCTCCGTGAACACGCCGTTGTTGAAGGCGTACAGGGCCGGTCCCTGGTACTGCTGGAGTCCAGCAACCCTGCATGGGACTCCACATGTGTGGTAGTCGGTATGGTCAAGGAGAAATGACACCTCGGTAGCGCCTGCGTCGTCTGCATTTTGGATCAGTTCCTGCATACATAGTGTGAAGGATACAATGGTAGAAAAGTGCATAAAATATGTACAGCATTCCCAAAACAACTGTTATCCCAAAACATGTTTTGGAATGGACCACGTTTTGGAATACAACAAGCATTCTACTTCGCCTCATTCCAAAACATAATAGATAGCTGTACCATCATTTGTACTGTTCATAACATTGTCAATTCTAGTTTGTTTGGGTTCCAGAGTGAGTGGGCGGAGATTGGGTATCACTTGATTGACGGGGTTATGCGCCAGTATGCCCTTGGTTCAATGCTGTAGTCGACAGAAATTATGAAAAATAAACCAAGGTGTAGTAGCGGGGTAAGTTTTGATTGAAGAAAACTATAGATATCTACTCCCAGGAAATGTTTAATTTCTTATTTCATGGTTAAAAGGTATTTCATATTCTGCAGGATGTGGGCAACAAGGAATTCAATGTGTGAAGAAAGAATCACTGAAAGGTGGTTTGTACACTTTACCTTTAGGATCTGTCCGCTGTCTGGATATTTCTGAAGGATGTTTTCTCTCAAGTGTTGAGAGAAGGGTGGCAGGGACTGTCCCCATGGCTCACCTGTACGTACAAAGTAGATATGTGTCAAGGCCGCAAAACACATTGGCGCATGGATACAGTTACCGCCCAGTAAGTACTGTGCGTTGGCTGCAGTTCATATTACTTCCGCATTGTGTCATATAGATAGCGATTTCGAGGCGGTATCACAGTGATCTCGCCCCCAGCGATTTCGATCGCCCTCGGGGGGTGGGGGGGGGGTGGCGATAGTCCAAATTCTACAGCCCAAATACTACACTGTATAGCAGAATCATCAGCAAGTTGATGTTGGCTACCTTAACCCCCAAAGACAAAGACATGGTGCATACAGTTACACGCACTGCTGCCAAATAAAAGCTAGACTAACAGGTATAGCCTCTGTGTGTGACAGGATCAATAGTCGATGCCTTTGTGCCAACACAACAGACGCTGTTACTGATACGTACGTTTTTGTACAGCTAGCTATAGATACTAGTAGTGCTGAAATCGACCGTGAACAAGTGAAAACGGTCATTGTATGCATATTGTTTGTAGTGTCACCGTCAGAAATGCCGGACATGCGTTGTCAAGGCACTACCTAATCAACAGATCGTTTCTATACATGGAAAACTTGTAAAAGTTGAGTATAGAAACCAGGCCATTCTATGAAATACGCGCTGATCAAAGCATTTGTCCACTTTTTCTAATAGAATTTGATTGTAAGTCCGAAATGTTTCACTATACCAGGATTTCGATCAATGGTATTCAGATAGCAAAGTTAAGCACACAGTATTGACATGTGGCAATTGCAACCCATGATTTGTACATATAGGACAATGTATGTCTCTAAAATGCCTTGAAATTCCACTGATGATTGTAAAACACACAAACAAACAAAGAAAAACACATTTCCATCCCATATTACTTACTATTTGTAAGTATTATAAGTTTATCACGTCGACAACAGAACGTACCGTGCCTAAAAGCCGCATTTTCACAGTTTTCGTGGCATTATATTACCTTGGAATTTTGCTTGCTGCAGACGATATCTTTTCAGACACAACATTAATCATTTGAAAACTATAGACTGGATGTTAACAATCAATCAATCAATCAATCAATCAATCAATCAATCAATCATCCGCGTGCATCATGGTAGATGCATAGCGGCTACAGTCACGCACAGGTCCCGCCAAAATGATCTGTCATCGACACAGACTCTCCAGTTGTCTCCCCAAGTGTGGGGAAGAGCTGGTCTTCCCATCTTTCCCTAGGGCGGCCCCTTGGACGTCTCCAGGTTGGATGTTAACGTTATCCTTAAATACGCGAATATGGTCTCATAGGAGACTTTCTGTCGAAAGTTAAATCCATGCAAAAGTGTGGCCACTGATAGTACTACTACTAGTATTTCTTTTTCTGAAACAGTCTGCCACGGCCGGAGGGGGAGGGGGGACTTGTAGTTCAGTATTTGTACAATTTACTTCTATCTTGACACATGCACAGTGATCTTGACAATATCTGCAAAGTTACCTTCTTCTTCTTCGAGAAGATCTGCCATCTTTGACACCGTTGAACCGCAGGCTCAGCCCCAAGTCAACATGTTGAAGACTTCGACGCGAGCTTCCCACTAGAAAAGGTTGGCGGTCGTCGCTAGTAAAAAAGGCGCGCCCTTGTGCAAGTTACCCGGATTCGAAACCTTGGGAGTTTCCCGGTCACTGTGTCAGCTAACGCCACAATGCGCTCACAAAAGAACGTGATCCTACCCACCTTTAATACCAGTTGCGCAATGTCACGGCATTCAAGTAACGCCACCATGCGGTTAACTCTAAAACTACACGGCATGACTGGCTGTGCTCCTATGCAAATTAGCTTCCTTATTTGGAGCGACCACCAAATATGGAGGCACGAAGTCTCGCGAGAGTACACGAGACCGGTTGAGTATAAATACCCCCGGCTACCCACCATTCGTTGTCTTTTGCTCTCTAGCCACCGACGGGAAGGGAGTGACTTTTTCGCTCGTAAAATTTTTACCCTGCGAATCAAAAATAGCGAACACAACACATCTCAGCGACACCCATAGGCTTGCCACTAAGGTAAGTTGGTGGCTCAACCTTTTTTCACGTGTACTTACCTCAATTTGAAGCCGAAAAATTGAAACGCCGGGCGAAGGCGTGGGTTTTTAAACTGTCATTTTAAAAGCTTTTGTGCCTGGGCAAGGGATGGGTTTTCTTCGCTTACAAACCGTTTACGAAAAGATAATTTAATCGATTTTCGTGTGAGTTGCTGAGAATTACGTTTGGTTCAAGATAGGGGGAGGGCACTGGTTACTTTTGGCATACATACAACGAGCGATTGTAAATTTACATTTCTTCGAGTTGAGATCTGAAACAGTGACCGGTTTTTATGTAACAACTATTTCTATATATAGCAGATTAAAGGTGGCAATGGCAGAAAAATGTTCAGACTAGCTGGTGCACACGTGTCTTAGATTTGTGCTATAATTTTAAACCAGGTCGTGTCGCTAGACGAATTTTAGTGCTGCCGAGTAGACTTGAAAAACCCGGAAGAAATTTGGCCGTCTCCCGATCGGCCAGTTAATATTGGTCGTCGCTGCACGCTTTGCGAGCCAAAAAAGCCGATCTAAACGCTAAGAAAATATGACTCCATATACACGAACTGTCAATCGTATTCGGTGAAGACTTGGTGCCAAAAAATATCGCAAGGTTGCAGATTTTTGCCAGCGCGTTGTTCTGTGTTTTGGTTCCGGGGTTTGCGCCGAGGAAGAAACATGATATGCTAATTAGTCGGTCGAGCCAGCACGTGAGTGGAAAAGTACAGGCGTGAAACGTGCGCTTCGCCCGCGTGTCGCTCTTTGTTGTCGCTTATCTACCGTAAATACGGCTTTATTTGCACTTTCCCAGCAAAATCTACCGACATCTTTGCCCAGGCTGGGTGAAAATACAGTCATAACACATACACAGGGGTTCCCTTCAAAACCGAGATTTCCTGTAACCCCGTTTCTCATTCGCTCACTGTTGCCATGGTGATATGCTAATTTCCGACACCAGACAACTTGTCTGGCATCTGTTGCATGAACATAAAGTCTGATGTAATCATGGTGAAATCCAAGCAGATGTGGGTAGCAATCAATCTTTCAATCAATCAATCAACAAAGTTATATTTAATTGGACCGTACCATTACAATGTATCAAATCTGGGGAGGGGTGGTCATTTTTTTTCCACAGAATCATAGATTTAACTTTCCCCCTTCAGATGCTTCTAGATTCAGGTGGTTCAGGTATTGGTTGGAGGTTAACCAATGGTTGTTCAGCGTGCAATCAAAAGTAAACTTCACGGTAGCGTGAGAGAATTTTCCATTCCAAAGTCCAACTCTCGCTTGTGACTTAGGCTATTTTTAGACAACAGAGCTTACATGAGGGATTGCACGCACCCTGTGTAACTCTGATGACTGAGTCTTGCTTTGACACTGATCAGGTTATTTTTAGACAACTGAATGGGCTGCATGGCTCGGGGTTGCTGTAGAAGTTGTACACCTGTCTTCTTTGCACTGGTTGTTGAGGTTGTCCTAAGTTTTTTTCTGGTCAGTTTCACTTTTTTACCCACATGTCAATATTTTGATTTGAATGATTTTATAAAATTCAGCAGCTGCCGTGGTGATTTTGGCCAAAACCAGATACATGTACAGTTGTAATCAAGGATTGAAAACTTACACTTACAGTACAGTCATTGAATCGATGACGCTTGACGCTTGATAAATCATGTCATACAAGTTCGGAAGACTATGAGCAAAAGATCTAATCCATTCTATGAATTTGACAAACATGTAATATATGATATCTTGATCTTACACACAGTCACAATTACCCAAAACTCTAGTTTGAAATTGTTACATGTTGATTTCCAGCACATAGACAGCCTGTCTATCTCCACCTGAATCATGTCGAGTTCTGGGTACACCAGTAGCGGGGCGAGTACGCCCTCCAACGGTTCGCGCCCGTCCTCCCCGGGACCGGGCGTACCGTACGTGAAGCTCGCCGACAGGATTGAGGCTAAGATCAACCGTGGAGAGCGCTGGTTCTCACTGGAGTTCTTCCCTCCCAGGACCCCCCAGGGTGCTGCCAACTTGATCTCAAGGTTTGTTTGTTGTTTGTAAACATGTTATGTTACGTAATTACAAGCTCCATGAGGGACAGATTGATTTAATTCTTCAAATGTTGCCCCTACTATTATTAATATGACAGTCAATTGGAAATTTGAGCTGTGGCACTTTTCAAGCATGACCAGTATTTTTAAAAAGGGCCTACTTGGGGGAATCGGAAGGTTCCAATTAACACATTCAGGAAGTCCATTTTACAAAAGATTGCCATATATATATATATATATA